AGGTGAGAATGAGAGGGGGGAAATTACCCATCAAGAGGGTTCATGGCCCCCGGAAAATAGTCTCCAAAAGCTAATCTATTGATCTCGTGGCTTATCTGTAGCATATATTTATATCATCTGAAGTTAAAAGCACACCAACTAAATATGAAACAAAAGACAGAAGAAAGATAAAACTTGAGTCCTATTCACAAATCTAGTACTTTTTGACAAAAAAGGAGAATTAACTCGAGCATTGGGCAGCTGTTACAATATCTTACATTGAAGCTATCCTTTTGGAAGGCAAGTAGATCATGAACATGCACATTTGACTGTTGGAAACTCTTTCCAGGTGCAAAATGGAAATTTCCAGCCACTTTGTTAACTTCCAAGAACCCATATAAATTACACCCTTCCCCGTCTTCTTCTTTGATTCTTTGAAGGAACCCTTCTCTTTTGCACTGAGTCCGCAAGGAAAAAGAAAAAAATAAAGGAGGTCGATTATTATTGAGCGCTAAAAAGTCAAACTTTCTAATCCTTTATCAAATGATATACTGATATGCATTGTTCAATCGGCTAATAGTAGGACCATACATCCAACTCAATACAGTATTTTATCAAAAAAATGGAGGACTATCCGGTGTTGAAATGTTTGAAAATAATTTATATTGCCTGCTAAGTTGCTATTGCCTTTATCAGCTTATTTATATATGGAGTATATATCAGATAAAAACATGGAAGTGGACCACATTCAGAAATTTAGAAGATAATCAGGTAAATCAATCACTACTATTGGTCAGGCTTTTCCTTGAATCCTTTGGCATGTGAGAGTTCTTCTACTGGGTAGCCCAATTTCTTTAATTTTGCAACTGCCTGAGCTGAAAAACACTATTTCATGGCCCTATAAAATCTATGTGAGGCAGGATCATAGATTAAGTCCTTGTATTGTTGAAGAATCATAGCATTTGCTAGTATGGGCTTAATTAGGATTTAATTAACTTGGGCTCGATTAGGGTTTCTCTTAGAAAGCTATTTAAGTATTTATACCCCTTGTCAGGGTTCATTCTTGCTTATCTGGGAATAAAGTTGGATTTCAGCCTTTTGGCTCTGAGCAACGATTTCCATCGTTGATTATCTGGGCAACGGTTTACCCTGTTGATTTTTATTTTTCTGTTCTCAACAATTGGTCCGACCCATAGATACATAAATCGCTACAGGAGGCGCGATCTGCGTACCGATCGTTCCGTACCCAATCGGGGTACAAAAACGATCCGGTCGCTAGTTGGAACGCTATGCGGTAAGTTACTCGAGTCGTTCCCAGTCGCTGTTCATAGTCGATCTCAATCGATCCTCAAATCGATCCCAAACAATGTTTGCAGCGATTGTATCCGCCGTTTCCAGTCGTCGCGCAGATTTGAATCGTCATTTCCTAGGTCTGAGACTCTTAGTTTGTGTTTCGTTTCCATCTGTAAACAGCATATGAACTTTGATTTTCGAACCACACTCCTAGACTCTTAGTTTTCTGATCCTTCTCATCAATTTTGCCCTCTAATAACAGTTATAAATTGACGCAAAATGATCTGCTTTATACGCCAACTACTCTTAGTAGTCTTCCCTCTGCAGTTGATTTTAGACACCAGTCCCCAGCCAGTGTTTCTTGAGTATTAATGTTTTTGCTTTTGTTTAATGTTATGATATCATGTTATGAAATCTGTTTTTGTTCAATGTTGAAATCTCTATTCTGTAATTCAGTTTTATAGTACCAAAATATTAGGTACAGCGTACCGAACATATGGTACATCGTACCGATCGCGTACCGGAATGAACTTACCCCCCTCCGAATCGGATACGCTAGATCTAGCGAACCGCGTTCCCGATCCTCGTTCCCGTACCGAAGCGTTCCACGAACTATGTGACTATGGTCCGACCTGCCGGATCCCGTCCCGCCAGGATGATGAGGTCTCAGAATGATCGTTTGACAGAGATGGAGGCGGAGCAAACCCGAATGGGAGAGGAGCAAGCCCGAATGAGGGCCGAGCAGTCCCGGATGGTGACTGAGCAAACTCGGATGAAGCAAACCCTGGAAGAACACGGCATGCGGCTGGATGAGATCGCTGCATCCCTAGCGGCGCTGAACAAGGCCCTTGTGCCGCCGATCACGACGGAGAAAACATCAGACGCGGTCGGCAGTACTGCCATCGCAGCGCACAGCAACGGCGGACCTCCGCGCAGCACTCCTCCAACCTTTCTGCCCATGTTCGACGGAGAAGACCTGATCAGGTGGATAGCTAGGGCTGAGCAACAGTTCGAAGTTAATCAAACCCTACACGAGAGGAAAGTGGCAGCAGCTACGGTTAGCCATGAAAGGGGCTGCCCTGTACTGGTTGACCTGGTTGAAGGGACGAAAACCGAGCATGACTTGGGAGGAATTCACACAAGCACTGGTGGCCTGATTTGATTCACGATTCAAAGGAAGCTGATTCGAACGGCTGTCCGGGATCAGTTAGTTGGGGACCGTAGAGGAATATAATAACCTTTTTGTTCAATTGGACAATCAGGTTCCCGGACTGTCCGATGATCATTACTTGGGGTATTTCATGAATGGACTGAAGGTACCGATTCGTGGATCCTTGCGGTTGCTGCAGCCAAACAACCTGGAGATAGCAATGGAATTGGCCAGAGACATTGAGGACACTCTGCCTTTCAAGATGGAGACCGGGAAAGCCAACCCTACAAGACGGAAGTGCGTTCAGGCAGTTTTTCACGTCCAGGTGGGGGCAACACCACAACTATGAATGGTGGCAGCATACAGTGGCAGCTTTCCGAAAGATAGTGGGCAGCCCCCGGGGACAAATTCAGGGCTATCCGGGCAGTCTATTGCATGCTCTCAGTTCACTCGACTTCTGCCGAAAGAGTTAGCAGAATTGTGGGCGAAAGGATTATGCTTTAGGTGTAAGAATCTATTTACACCAGGGCATGACTGCCCCTTTCAGCAGTTGCGGGCAAGGTAGTCAAAGTCGAAAGGCGCACTTGAAGCGCTAGGGGCCTTCCAGCGCCTTAGGCGCAAGGCGCATATAAAGCGCTCGCCTGACTCGGGTGAAGCGCATTACTTAGATAAAATCACATATACTATTCTATAATTACCCAATATGATGTATGTAACATACTAACATCATATTGAACCAAATGCATATAAAATCCAGATTTCCCCAAAATAAAGTCATGATTTACAAAAAATAAAACACCAAATTCAGAATTTATGGCTTTGATACTAAAACTATAAGTAAAAGACAACCAAATTGGAGCCTATTTCCCTTGGTTAAACTTGTGAGTCTACATAGTACTATTACTTTATTAATAACATAGCAATATACTAGTGCTATGAGTAACATAGAGTAATACAGAGTATTATGACTATTATATACAAAGCAATATACGAATGCTGTGAGTAATAAAGAGTAATATTGAGTACTATTACTTTATTATCTACGTAACAATATACTAGTGCTGTGAGTAATATAGAGTAATGCAGAGTATTAATACATTATTATGAGTAATATAGAGTAATGCAGAGTATTAATACATTATTATGAGTAATATAGAGTATCATATACATAGTAATATATTACTCCCTCCGTCCCATTGGAAGGTTCCCGTAGCAAAACGGCACGGTTATTTAGGCAATAATTAAATAAAGTACTTCGAGTATATTTTGAAAAATAATTTTAATAGGTATATATTATAATGTAGTTAGTATTGATAACTGTGATGTTATAAATGTATTACTTTTAATATTTAATGATTAATTTGTCACTTAAGATTGTTAATTGTTTCCTAAAATGGAAATGGGAACCTTCTAACGGGACGTCCAAAAAAGGAAAGTGGGAATCTTCTAATGGGACGGAGGGAGTAGTACTTTATTATATACATAAAAATATACTATAAGAGTATTTGGTTGAAGAAGACTGCATAAACAAGGACACATATCTTGTTTAGTGGTATGAGGGAGAACTGAGTTTGCTTAAGATGATGAAGAAAACCGAAAGAACTGGCTGGTGTAAAGCAACTTGATTGAGAAGAGTGAGTAGGCTTAGTGTTCTACGCAAGGTTTTACGTTTTTATGTACTTTACTTAAGGGTTTTACGTAGGTTTAAATGGTTTTACCCTATTATTTAGATGGGCTTAGTGTTATTAAAGATACGGGCTAAATATTTTTTAAAGTTTTAAACCAAAAAAGGCTTGTCAGCCTTTTCCGGATCAGGCGACCCAAGCGTGCGCCTCCTGTGCCTCAGCGCTTAATGCACTTAATGCACTTATTCTGCACCTGACCCAGGTACGTGTGCCTCCCCTTCTCGGCTTCTCCCAAGCGCTGAAGGTCATGCTCGCTGCGCCTGGTGCGCTTAAGCGCTGGGGCGAGCGCTTTTGACTACCTTGGTTGCGAGTAATGGTAGCTGAGGAGGATGAGGGGTTGGACCTCCAACAACATGAGTATTGTGAAATAACCGATTGCGAAAAGGTTCAGAAAGGCCAAGGGGTTCCAGAAGAAGATGAAGGATAGTTTCCGGTTTATTTTATGGCTGGAAATTTCAGCCCTCGATCTGCGAAACTTCAACCTTGAGGACAAGATTATTTTGCAGGAGGATGGATGGATAGAGCGCAGGAAGAGAAGGGGGCGGGAACGGGCTTGGGCCCACTTCCGTGGGCTGGTTATGGGCTGGGATTATAGTTTTATTTATTAGGGAAAATGGAAACTACATAATCCAACCTTTTAGCTGTCTAATTACAATAATCCCACCTTATTGTAATTCAGGAATAATTTAACATTTGCACCTCATCTTCATTTACTGGTCCCTGACCAATTGATGAAGTAAAGATGGGGTGTAAAGGTTAGATTATTCCTGAATTACAATAAGGTGGGATTATTGTAATTAGACAGCTAAAAGGTTGGATTATTAGTTTCAATTTTTCCTATTTATTATTATAAAGTTTATGTTATGTTTTTTGTTTGGACCTATTATTAATAGAGTATTTAGTAGAGTTAGTATGGGCTTAATTAGGATATACTCACTCCGTATCATATTAATTGCAACATTAAAATTTATACACTATTCATGTACACTACTTTGACTACATTTTATTTATTAATGTATGTGAATTATTTTTTTTGAAAAATATTGTTGAATTCATCTCATTACAAAGTTTCATAATTTGATTTTTAAATTTTTTTTACTAATAAGAAATTAAATATAATGATGGTCAAAGTTGTGCATTGGTAAGCGTGAAAAAGGGAATGTTGCAACTAAAAAAGAACGGAGGATAGTAAATAATTTAGGCTCGATTAGGGTTTCTCTTAGAAGGCTATTTATACCCCTTGTCAGGGTTCATTCTTGCTTATCTGGGAATAAAGTTGGATTTTAGCCTTTTGGCTCTGGGCAACGATTTTTATCGTTGATTATCTGGGCATGGTTTACCCCGTTAATTTTTATTTTTCAGAGTAGGAACTAGCACCAACTATTAGTGATTTAAAGGGTCATACTTAAACATGAAGTTACTATTTAATCTGCATACAAAAAAGTGACTAGATCAGATATAATTTGGATTTAAACCCTTCTAGAAGAAACTCTAAAATATTACCTAATCAACAGCTCTTCAACGTTCCTTCTCACAGGAGTCACGGCTCCCTATTGTCCACCCCTCACAGCACCCTCAGCAAGTGGTCTCTCGTATCCCTCTCTCCAGGGGTTTCCTACTCTTCTGTCTCTCTTTTATCTCTTATGTTTTCTTTCACGGTTTGTTTAGTTTAAAAGAGAAAGTGATAAAAGATAAAGATGAGAGAAAGAGAGAATAAAGAGATAACGATAACAAATTGGGCGGAGTAATGATACTGGATTGGTCATTTTTAGATCATTGGTGTACGGGGTAAGGCAGCGACATCAAAGATGATGGCGGTGTGTACAAATAAAAAGGTCACTTTTGGGGCTAAACTTATTTAGTTAGTAAAACTGACGGTATAAAATCTTTACGGCATAGTTTCTGGGAAAAAGTGACATTGTTCAATTTAACATTTATTAACTCACTGTTACTTTGCATCAGCAAGATTCCAACTTAAGATTAAAAGTGAGCATACCTAATTTCTAATTGACAGTATTGAATTTAAATGGACACAACCACAAGATTAATTCTAGCATGCAACTATATGCTAGTTAGGCTATGCAAGCAGATTTTAATGATGGCAGTAATTAGACTAAAAAAACTTGCAAAGCTGCATAAGTCAGACTTCTGTCTTCACTATATGGTTTTACTAACAGTAAGAGTGGAGCAAATTAACAATGAATTTTTTTAGTACGGATAAGTTGGCAATCGTGATTTTGCACATGAAGCACTAGGATGGAACAATGTGTGTGAATGTGTGATTACTCTCTGAATGACAGTTTGAGCACTGATCTTTTAACTAGATTGAAGCAGAGATGCACAACTCATGTTGCTCTTTCCTCTAGGATGTGTAATCCGCCACACAGGATGCATATTAAAAATTATCTAAATAGACTCAAATGTAAAACTGACCTGGTCCATTAAATCAGGATTTGACACTGCCCATCCCTTTTTTCTATAGGCTTCACGGACATCTTCACAAGAGTTGCAACAGTGGTCATCTGACTGCACAATTAAAAGGATAACATTGGAAAAACAGTAATTACTAAGTAGTTTATAAGTTAAAAGCATAGACTAACTGAAGTTTTTATAGTCTGTCTACCATCACAAATGTGCTTAAAGGAAAAGTTATGGTCTTGTGTGAATCAAGTACAACATAATTTTCTACTTCCATTTGAAAAGCAGAAAGAAAATCAAGACAAATGATGTACTTCAAAACGTAGGAAATACATATACAAGCTACTCAAATCTTTTCAGTCATTGTAGCATTAAATTAGAGATTTGGAGTGAAGTAATACGGGATAAAAAAAATAGGAAGTATGATTGGGTACAATCTAAAATCACAGCAGTGGCCAGTTGTTTACTAGTCACTGTGATCTATGCTTGCCTAATTTTCCCAAGTCCAAACAGCTAGCATATATAGAAAGGTTAAAAGTTACATACTGATTCAGCACCATAACATGAACCACAATATGTCTCATTGTGCTCAAGCCTGCCGCCATGTCTTTGCAAGGGTCTTTCAATCTGTAACATCAATTACAGTAGTAAGAAGATAAAAACAAGCACATCATTCAGTAAAAATAAAAAAGAAATTGCTTAGTATTAGCAGCAAAATAGCTACTACAGCCTACAGCTAAGAAAATTCAAAATATGCATTTGAAAAGAAAATATCTAGTTTCTATCTGTAACATCAAACATGTATTTTTAGCAGACCAAGATACATATAGAACAAACATATGATCTCTTTAAACTTGAACCTACCAAGCACCAATGTTATGTTTACTCCAAGGAGTGGAAGTCATTTGTGACGTGATTCACTGATTCCACAGGTTACACAATTTGAGTGTCTCCCACTCTTTCGTTTACTTGCAAATCTTGATATGGGAATGGTTGTTCAGCCCAATGGGTCACGGGAGTTGGACTCCATACTACATTTTATTTGTGCTGATTATGCTCTCAAATTTTGGATGTGAACAAAAGAGTGGGTGACACTGCAAAATTTATGACCCCTGAAGTTACTCCCCTCTGCAGAAATGATTCCCCTCTTTGCAGGAAAAAAGCATAATTGTATTACACATTCATAAAGAAAGTGGTCATATCATATGACTCATACGAATACTTGACCTTCTAACTCACCTTTGGGCCACCAATACCATCCTGCCTTGTTTCAATTACATTACCATGAGAATCTATCCTTTTCTTGATAATGTCATGTCTCTGCAAGTGCAAGCAAAACCAGAGCTGGTAAGATTATGTTTTAACAATAACAATATCACTTTTGAGCTGACATGAACCTCTTTTTAACTCAAGACTATACACTCTTAAAGATAACAGTTACTGGAGCAAGGCATGATACTGCTATAATATAGTGCAGTATTTCAAGATAGCATTGGTCACAAAATGTTGGTCAATGCACTCCTGGAACACTTGGACCCCTCACCATAGTGAATTTCCACATTAAATTTCAACCCAATTTGCAAACAGTGACTGTTCACTTTTCCAATTCAACAACTTTTGGTTCAAAATGGCCAAACTGTCCTCATATGCAAACAAATGGAATCTGGTGAAAATGGGCATTTAGTACCAAACGAGGTCCATTTTAATAACTCAAGTATTATATGTAGTCAAATTGATAATTGATAATTGAAGGATAATATGTTAGGATTACAAAACTACAAATTTCACTATAGTAAATGACTGGTCAGCGACTCGATATACTTTTATTTCCAGGAAAAGATATACGTAGATTGTATTTCCTAAAACAAAGTGATATCATCTAAGAAAGGGAGAAAGCAGGGGGGTACAGAACATTGATGATAAAAGATTGTAAGAAGTAGTGATATAGAAAAGTTTACATACAACATCAAGGTGTTGCTCTCCACTTATGTCCATAGCATCAACACTGACAATGGAACATGGAAGTGCTGGAAAGGTAATATCAAACTGCGAATCAATGGAACAGATACTTATTCACACAAGAAGTTATTAACATGCACACAAAAAGGCTTTTTTCCTTCCAGGAATACGAAACCGATAGAGTGCAGGAAATAAAGAAAACTCACAAAACACATATCTGGTGTTTGACAGAGTGAAAAAAGGCATATCTGTAGTTAATTTGAACTCTCAAACAAGATCATCTTAAAATGTGATTGCTTTAATATTAGAACAATGAAATAATAATTCCAAGCTCCATCTTTTCCTACCCTAACACAATGTTCTTCCAAATAGGAGATTGCACGTGGATTAAGAAAGTGGAAATTGTGTGGTGCAGAGTTGTGCAGAGGAGAGAAAAATGTGTAAGAATATGTAAGAAATGTTGTGAACCATAAATTCTTTGCCAAAAAGAGAAAGAGGAGATTACTTTGGGACGAACGAGTACTATATAAGATATTAAATCATATAGTCCTGAGTCCATGAATAATATCTTACATTAATACGAAGTGTTTCTCCTCTTGAAGTGTCAACCACAAGCTTTGTCTCAGTTACGGCATGAAGATATAGTCCTGCAACGACTTGTAACATATAACACCGCTAGAGAGGATATACACAACCAGGAAATTCCATTTTTGTAATATGCTATAAAACTCTAGCAAACTCCATTATGTGCATTATGTGCTATGAACATGAATATAGGTCAACATTGGAGAGCAGAGACAATGTTGAAACCTTCTCACATGCTAAACTTCATTGATTTACTTATTAAAGTTGAGTAACATGCAACAGATGGAACTTTTAGTATAATTTCATAACAAATTGCATAGTATTCAACAAAGATTTTGCTGAGAAAAAGGAGAAAACAGAATTAGATTATGAAATAAATTAAACGATGATTACTATTGTTGTCTGGATCATATTAACCGTCTCGACAACATCGTAAACTTATTTGACAGAGTTGCGTATACAAAGACATATGATCACACGCATTGGGCTCATATATACGTAGGGAGATAAAGTTGGAGGAACAAACTGAGCTCGGAAATGAAGAGCAAGAGCATAACAATGGAGGAAGCGAGGGTTATCACGCCACCGGAGAGAGTTCTGCTGTAGAAATCTTCGTTGACCTTCGGATACGCATCCAAATTTCGAATCTTGCTCATTAACTTCTCCATATCCGCAAATAAAAATCCCTCTAGGGTTACTTATTACACTTTTCTTTTACAGACAAGAGCTCTCAAGTCGGAGAATTAATGAAGAATCGAAAATGCAGCGGCTTAAACGCCCCGTCGAATGATCTCCGATGGTCGACGGAGGCGTTTTAGTCTCTTCCTCCTTCACTCTATTTTTTCGATTTTATTTTACTTTTAATGATTCTAAATTTTAAGAAAATTCTTTTTTTTTATGGCCATAGTCCATAGACGAGCCAATAAACTGGGAGGAGACGGGCTCAGATGTTTAAGCCCGCCGAAGTAGAGATGGCAAATGGCAATTGTGATCGAACGGGTGAATACCTGCACCGAACCGTCCTGGTCAAAACGAGTAAAACCGCATTAACCGAGTGACGGGTAACGGGGCGGGGAATATCCGATTCGTTTTACGGGTAATGGGGCGGTTACGGTTTTATACATGTCCGTCTCATACCCGCCCCGATTATTTGTAGTTATATTTTTATTATATTTTTATATATTACTTGTCTTACAATTATTAAAAGATAAAAGATCAGATTTTTTCCTTCCATTGTGTATATATAGATAATAGATGTACTAACTATAATGTACGAATGAAAGTTCATAATAGATTTCGATAGTCTTGTTTGATTATTATCATATTTTTTCGTGATTAATTATTTTTTAGATTAAGTATTTTTAGATTCAAATTATTTTGAGTTGCTTCCTTTCTCGTCTTGTAGACACACGAATCTCTAAAGTAGCATCTGAAGTGTAAAGTCGTCTAGGCGATATCATTCTTCACCTTTTAAAATATTATTTTTATATCAAAATTTAATGACTTAATTAATAAAGCGGATACCCATGGTAACCCGAAGTTTTACCCGTTACCCGTTGGGGCGGTTATGGTTTGGGTAAAAATTACCCGTTCGGTAATGGGGTAGTTACGGGGCGGGGAAATTCCCAACGGGGCGGTTACGGTTATATGTCAAACCGTCCCCGATCCGCCCCGTTGTCATCCCTACGCCGAAGGAATAGTCACAGGTAGCAGACTCGAGACGGTGTTTGGTTTTCTTTTCCTGGAAGACGAGCAGTGTTTTTATTTTTTTGTTGTGCTTGTTTTTTATGTTGTTGAGTACTTTGTTTATTTTCAATTTGTTATTTTTTTGCATTGTAAGACTATGAACTTGGATTTGGGTGACAGGAGGTTTGTGTTAACCGTCTTTGCCTCAGTTGCGCCCATTAATGAATCAGCGAGTTATATTGCTTCTTTTGAGCTGATTAATTTTGAGTCTGATTTGAGGGTCTTTTTGTCTTTTTAACCCTTATTTGCATGTTGTGATATCAATTTAAACCACATTTCATCAGAAAAACTTTTTTTGAAAGATAAGGAAATTCTTGTACTATACTACGGAATAGTATAGTACAAGAATTTCTATACTACTACTCCGTATTAAATATAGAAATAATGGCATAAATATTACCTATTAGGTTTCAATATACAAAAATATGACCTTTTTAAAACTTTACAAAAATGTGACATACAAATTCTCTCATCACTCACTCGTGAGGGTGGCAATCGAGCGAGGTTGGGGCGCGGGTTTACTCCACCATCCCCCGTCCCGTGTCTAAAAAATCCTCCACATCCCCACCCTGACCCACTAGATCCACGGGTACCCAACGGGGGAAAATAATCGTCAAAAATTAACACCATTTTCAGGTTTCTTTATAATAGACACACTCTTGATTTTGATGCTATGTTTAATATCGAAAACATCTCTGAAAATCTTCTAAAATCACTAGAACCTATACTTAATGTCTGTTAGGGTCATTCTTTGAAATATTACCAGGTTATTGGTTACCATCCTATCTGGAAAAGGCCTAAAGATTTATTTTATTATATGAAGTTTCAAACAAAGAATTGATTTTCAATGATTTATTGGCCAGAATAGATTCTTCAGTATAGTTTATTTTATGATATGAAGTTTCAAACAAGGAATTGATTTTCTTTTGTATTATGTGAAATGGATCCTTCTTTGAAGTTTTAATAAACTTCATTCAATTTTTCTTTCAAATTTACAAACTTCCCACTAATGCAAAGATTTTGTGCTCGTCTGTTTCAAAATTTTAAGCACATAATGAGTGAGTTACAAGGTGCTGCTATAATTGTTGGTTTAATATTCCAGAGTTTTTTTTGTTTTCAGTGGTTTGATGTCTGTTTTTCTTAGGCAAGTTAATATGTATTTCTTTTAATATACATTATGCACCTTTAGTTGATTTGGTAGAATATTATATAGGGAGGTCTGGGGAATGCATAATTGGCATATTAATATTTCATTCTCTGTTTCTTGACTTACTAATCAATTTAGAAATTACTCCGTACTACTTTTGGCATATTCGAAGATCACACTATTGCAGGTTGGTAACCCTTGCGGTTGCTCATACAATAGCAGCATTGGGTTTAGCTTTTTTAGCTATGGCTTTTCTCAAGCTGTACTGTATAGAAAACCAGCGTCCGTAGGGCAGTACTTGCTCTTGCTTTTACCCCGATGAGAAACTTAAGGGCTATGTTTGGAATCCAGACAACAATGCCAAGAAAAAGTGTTTTCTACTACTTGGGTTAACCTTGGAAATGCAAAGAAAAATAAATTTTGACTCATGTTTATAACTTTATAATACGCTGTATAGATTGCTTAGTTTTTTTATGATATAAATAAGATCAAATTGTTGGAAAAATGTGTTAAAAATTGCATTAAATGGTCAATTTGGGGCAATATTTTGAGTGGGGTCCACTTTCGGTTTGGGTCGGGTCAAAATGGTTTTGGATTTTCCTTGCTAAGGCCTACAAGTCGATATATGGTACACTCAAAACGGATAACGGGTGAATGAGAAATTGATTCTCAAAGTTCACTCGTTAAAATGGAAAAACTGGGAAAATGATAAGTTTCTAGTGGGATTTATCACACACCAGAAACCCCAAGGGATTTTCACCCCCTATTCATGGATTTGAATTCTATTGCCGATCCAGAAACACGAGCATATATCATTGCAGAAAGATCGAGAATTTTACAAAAAAACAACTCAAGAACGGGGATCATCTGCTGGATTTGGGAATTTATTGGATGGTCTTGGAGGATCTGGAAGCGGGTTGAATGACTATTAATTTCTAAATTAGTATGTACTAGGTATGATTTTAATAATGTTGTTTTTAATTTTAATGGTGTTATTAATTTTAACTTTAATTATGTTATTTCCTTAAGTATCATTTGTATTCTGTTATTATGTTGTTTCAATTTGAAACTTTATTTATAATAATGTGTGATTATAATTTTATTATATTTTTTTTAATGATCAATCAAATTTATAATTTAAATTTCATTATATTGCATCAAGTTTATAATATTGTGTATTTAAACTTTATTATATTGTATCAAATTTATAATTTAAATTTGTTGTTTTAAAAATGGGTCAAAACTATAATATAGTGCAAATCCTGGCTTATTTTTACGTTAAAAAGTGGACACACTATGAGCCCATTTGGTGACATGAAAATCGGTTGATTCGGTTGATTCTGCTGAAATTTATGAAGTTCCGACTGAAATGGCTGTATTGGCTGATTTTGCTGATTTAAGGAAAAAAAAATTTTGAATTACACAATTGAAATGTACGTACAAGAGAGATTTTACAAGGGACAACTCACCTTACTCTTTGTATATGAGACTAGTTCACTCTTACTCTCGTCTATCAAGGAAGATCTTACTCAACCAAGAACTCTCCTCTATCAAGGAAGATCTCATTCACCCAAGAGCTCTTCTCAAGGCTCTCACATCACTCAAGGAGGCTCTCACAAGGCTCTCTCATAGGAATGACGAGGATCTTCAAGAGTCTATAGAACTCTATGAGATTTAAACAACAGTAAAATACACATGCAATAGCTGTTTATCAGACCAGATCGGATCACACTTAAACATGCGAAATCAGACTGAATCAGACTAAATTTGCCCATATCAAACAAGTATATTCTAGTTTAAGTAAAAGGATCTTAAGTCGAGTTACAGACCTCCCCACCTCAACTCCTAGTTGAAAAAAAGAAAGGATACACACCAAATGCTAGAAGGTGAGGAAAAGGAGGAAATTAAAATATATAGAGCACATCAACGTGCTCACCAAAAAGCACGTTGTCATGATGAATGGTTAGAATTCTCTGATATTTTAGATGAATGAATCATGTCCATTCATCATGCCAACTTGCTAAATACGGAGCACGTTGACGTGCACTGTATATTTTCTCGGGAAAGGGAGGAACTCTAAATAGTATAATATCTACAATTTTATGTTTTATTTTTCATTTTATTATTGTACTAATATTAGTATTTGATAATTCAGGTGTCGCTGATTACACTCTCAAAAATATCTAATAATTCTAAATTCCATGAACAACCTATAAACGCCTTTAGTAAGGTAAATTGGATGTAATCATAGTCAGTTTTTTTGTTATGATTTCGAGTGACAAATAAATCTAGATATGATCACAATAAGTTTTTGTTGTTACGTTCTCCAAAGATAGAGGAATCTAGATATGACCACAATCACCTTTTGTTGTTACAGTCTCCAAAGAGAGCCAATTCATGTAGTCGTTTATGGTTTAATTTTTAAAAAATATATAACTTTTTTCTCTAAACTAAAATGAATAAAAATAATACTTCTGAAACTTTATAATAAAGAAAAGACTTTTACAATTTGTTGAATTTAAATAAAATAGAATAACTATTACAAATAAAAACTAAAGAAAAAATTAATGAAATTTTACTTGAATCCATTTCTTTTTGGGCATTCTAAAGAGAAATCATCATTCATAGCTTGATAGTCAATCTTTCCTAACCTATTTGTTCAATGTTTAACATTGCTAATTCATTAAGTTTGAGAGACACTTTTGACCACACAAAAAAATCCTGTTAAAAAACGGTCCTTTTTGTTAAAAGTTCAAAATGAACCGAGGGGAACAAAAAAATGTACTTTTGAATGCAATTTATTAAATAATTGTGTGCATATAATAAGAAATTTAATACAACTACTAAATTCAATATAATGAAATCTGATTGCCCCCGGAATCAATCCATATTTCGTTCCCGTCATTAATTCAAAAGAGTCTTAAATCAGCTTTATTTCTTTGCAATTTAATCCAAAAATCCAATCACGCACATCGCATTTAATTAATTTATTTTTTAATCGTTGAAATTAATTAATACTTAATTCCCTTTTTTGTCCC